TGATTTAACCATTTAATTTAATGGAAATATCATGTATACAAATATATCATATATATATATAGAATACAAATTTACTCATTAACACTATTAACTGATATTAATTATATCTTTATGATTTTTAAAATATAATCATATTCTATAATATCAATTTGAAATTATCATTTATTTTACGATATTAATTTAATATAATAGTTTGGAACTTACTTATGTACTTAATATTGATTAGGTTTTTATAATTTCATATTTGCGTTTGAATTTTTTTAAATTAGCAATATGAAAATAGAAAAAATAATTTGTTGATATTTTAGAAATGATATTTATGAAATATAATTTTTCTATATATACATACATAACTTATTATTCAATGCTATGCTATTACAAAACTATATGAATAAACTTTGAATATATAACAAAAGTATTGATCTGACACAATTTATCTAGGTATCGAATTCATATAATTTGTTAAATACAAACAACGTTTACTTTGAGGATGTACTTTACATACCTATATCTATACATAAAATTTATTTTTTTTTTTTTTTGGTAATTCAACAAATAAAATAGAATTAAACTAACCATTATAATATTTTTGACCGCAAAACAATTTTCTTAAAAGTACTTACAGAGGTGGATACCCACTCGTCTTTGAGAAAAAAATAAAAGATTTTTTTTTTTTTTTTTTAGGTATGTACTCATGTATATGGTTATACATATACAGAATCTTAAAGTAATAATTCTCTATGTAATTTTTTTTTACTGTTCATTATTCAAAATATTGTTGTAATTTTTTTTTTGAATACTAAAGAAATATAAGGAATATGCAAAATATAAGATTAATAAATAAAAAAAAATATAACTAGATTGAGAAGCTTCGCTTTTTTCGCTATTCATAATGTTTTTTCAACAAATTCATAGTTAAAAGAACTTATAGATATACTTACATATAGCCATTACATATTTATAATAGAAAAAGCCTATGTATCTATATGTGTATATAATAAGACAATAGCATTGAATTTCTTAGAAAATTTTCAAAAGATAAAACGAATTCAACATTAAATTCAAAAGTTGATGAGAATGAATCTATAAAATGAATCAGATGAAAGCAAAAAATAATAAAAAAAAAAAATATGCTTGTAAATTGTAATAAAGAAACAAAAATTCATACATACATAAATATGTACAAGAACTACTTGTAATTGTATAAAAAAAAATAAGAAATAGTATGTACAATTGCATTTGATATAAAGATTCTATTTTTTTTTTTCTAAAATAAGTAAAGGAAAAGTAAATAATAAAAAAAAAAACAATTGTACATAAACGAATAATAATATGGTTTATGTTCATATATGTATATACACCCTATATATGTAAAATATATAAAAAAAAGTGTAGGCTTACAACTTTTCAAGAATATAAGATATAAAGTACTTATGCATGTATAAATGTAATAAATAGAAAATATAGAAAACTGGACTTTCATCTCATGAAAAAAAAGAGAGTTGAACGCCGTTTTATTTTCTTTCGCCGTTTATTGTTGTTGTTATAGTGGTTTTTGTGTACATCCAGAAAACTAAACTGCAAAATAGTGAAAAAAAAATCTTTATTATACTTATTAAATTATATATCTATGCAGTACTGTTAGAAATTTTTTGATCACATAATATTAATTTATAGAATTTAGAAAAATTTTCTAGTCAATTGTTTTTATTGTTTTACTTTAATTTATTTACAACTAATAGAAATTAAAATAAGAAGTTTAATTTTTTTTTTTTGGGTTTTGCTAATTAAATTAAAATTTTAGTGTTATTAAACTCTTAAAATTAAGTTTTATTTCTTGAGGGTTTTATTAAAATTTTGCTGTGATCTCTCCAAAAGAATATAAGTATTATCACCTCAATTTTTCAAAATATAACTAAGAATTATAAGGTAATTAATTATAAGGCATGTATAAGGCATTATTAATTATAAGGCATGATTGTCACTAATTGTGACAATCGCACATTAAATTTTATATTCTAAATTCCCCAAAATACTTTATATAATTAGGAAAATTATAATAATTAAAAATTGAATAAAATATTTTATTGAATTGAAAATCTTATGACATTCTCATATATTAGTTTATATTATGGCACTATAATACAAAAATTTACAAATTTATTTAATTTAATGTTGTTAGAAGATTTTTGGTTATAAGTGTACAATATACTCGTACGTATATATGTTTGTACATATTTTATATCATGATCATTTCGGGTTCAAAACTCGACTTTAATTATATTAAATTCTAAATAAAATTTTTTGTACATACATACATATTCATTATATATACATATAGGTAAAAATATATATTTATATGAATAATACTTACCATTAATTTTTATTTCTTTTTGTATTCTAATCTATAGTTTATATATATAAGCATATATAAAAATTATATATATATTATATATCATATACACATATATTTTTCTTTTTATATTTTGTACATAGACTTCGTTGTTGGTGGATTTATAACTTTATTCAAGTTTGTTATAATGATCAAAAATAAAAAAAAAAAAATTAGAAAAAAAATTAAGACTTTTTTTTTATGAGAAAAAAAGAAGTTTTGAATATAATATAGATATATACCCGTAAATATACATATATATATATAAATATATCTTAAGTATATAAAACTTATAATAACTACTGGTATATAGATACAAACATACATAAATATAATAGCGAAAAAAGAAGAAAATACTCGTATAAAAAAGAAAACTGGTTTAAGAAAAATTCTTTGGATTTTCACCTTTTTCATTCTTTTTACCACTTTTTTTTTTTTTTAAATGTATGAGTTTAAAAAAATTTTCTTTCTTTGTTTCCAATTTCTTTAAAAAAAAGTCTCAGTTTTATAAAATCAAGATGGTAAAGAAGTTTTTTGCTTCTTTTTTCCTTTTTTTTTGCAGAGTCTTCTTTATTTTAAAATAATTGATAATTTTATACATCAAATACTCATTTTTATGCTATAATTAACCTTTAGACTGACTCTTCGCTATAAAAGTATATAAATTCAATGACACTATTAAAGAAAACAAAAAAACTATTTTCTTGTTTCATTTAGAGAAAAAACTCTGTTGTTACATTAGCATTTTTACACGCACGTTTACAAAGAAACTCATGTTAACAAGTCAAATTTAATCAAATTAATTTTGATCCCATAGCTACATAATATAAGAATATATGTATATATTTTTTTTCGGTATTTGACACAAGTTTTATAAATAATTATTATTGTGTAAAACAAGATCACTAAAATAGTTTTTTATTCATCTCTACTATAATAGAAAAAGGTAGCCGATTCATTAGCTATTGCCTTAAAATTTTCAAAAATAAAAATAAAAAACATAAATTTTAAATTATTTTAAAAGAAAAATCTTATAAAGATTGTATAAAAATTTATGCAAGTAGTTTGAATAAATTCATACTTCGGAACAGTAGTATAACAGAACATTAGCACCTTCGAACATAATTTAAAAACTAAATTAAAAAAAAATATAAATTTCATTGTTTTTTAGTTACAAGAGTAGCCCTAATAAGTACGTGTAACTGATGTCAAATATTTTTAAAAACTCGATTTAATGTACGTATAAGACATGCCACTTTTGTTTCACAAATAATATGATACAACAGTTTTAATTAATATAATAAATATGTGGGATGTATAATAGCTATTTGAATTTCAGAAGGGCTACTCTAAATTAGGAAAAAGGGATTTTAAAAGTATTTGTTATATGTATAACACTATTTATATAATATTGCCGTTAAATTTTGATATATATATATACAAATGTAAATGTGTATAACCCGCATTAATTAATTCCCGAATTTACCCATATATAATAATATTAACGCATTCAAACTCGCTTATACTTATTTTTATAATTAAAATTAAAATTGATTAATATGAGCGTATATAATTTTCCTATAAACTATGTTAGGTGGGAAGAAAAGAATCCCTCAATAACTCAATTGATTTTTATACTATTGATTTAAAATACACGCTTTTTATTTTATCACCATTTATAGGTGATGTATACAGAAGCTATACAATGTGTTCAACTTATTACAAAAAAAAAATTTTTATTATTTTTTTAAAATGATTATTATTAATTATAGTATTTAATCATTCATTATGATAAACGTGCTTGAAATTTGTATATAAAATCGTGTAAACCTTTTAAAACTTTTTTTTTTTGAAAAGGTTACATGAAAATGATGGTGTCACGTGTAATAGACTCTGCTCTTTTCACTTAAAAACAAGAAACGCAAAGAATTTTTTAAATCAATTTTACAATTTTGTATGTATGTATCTATATATATATATATATACTCCATTTTTATGTCATGAAAATTTATATGTGAAAATATATAAATTTCTTATTATTTTGTTTTTCTTTTTTCGTATATATAGAAACACAAGAAACTATAAAAGGAGAGACAAAGAACTATTGTTATACTTTTTTAAGTTTTGATTTTTTGTTTTTTTAATATAATACTAAAATATATATATATATAAACAATTTAAGTATATTATAACGTAATTGTGTATACAATAGTAATATTAACTTTGAAATTTAATATACATTTATAACAAAAAAAAAAAAAGTTATTCTTTAAATTAAAGTGAAATAAATTTTTATAATTTTTTTTCTTTGCAAAATAAAAAGTTTAAAAAACTAAAATTAACATTTACAAATAAAAATTAAAACTAATAAAATCTAGTGTGTACTATACGTATATATAACAAAGAAATAAACCAAAGGAGTCGTATATATATAATTTAATTATTGATATATAAACTCATATATATACTTGTATTTAAATAGTGTAGAAAACACAAATAGAAAAAAAAGGATTTTTTTTTTCTTCAAAAACAACAAATAAAATTAATAAATAGAAAAGTTGATTTATAATAAATTTGATAAAAAATAGAACACAATTTTTTTTTTCTCTAAATATAACTTCTATTTAAAACATTTTTAACTTTACTATAATTGAAATAATAAGAGATATTTTTTACTCGTGTATGCATCTTGTTGAAGAAAAAGGTAAATATTTATATATTACATTATATATACATATAAACTTATAAATAATAATTTATTTTATAAATTTAATTAAATTTAATTAGAAATTTTTTATAAATAGAATAAAAATTTAATAAATTATTCATGATTCATTAATTTCATTATAAGAATATCGTATATTTTAAATTACAAGAATATGAATAGGTGAGAATGAAAATATATATTTCTGGACGGATTTTGGTATTATACGAGTAAGCTTAAATTTTTGTATATGTAACTATATCTAGATTTTTTGAATTATTAATTCAAAGTTTTGATATGAATGCCATGTTTCAAAACGGTTGTAGATTTGTACAATTGGGGTAACAGTGACACGCGTTTAAGAATCTATTGCGACAACCTCCTCCCCCTCCCCCCTCTCTGGATTTTAAGTGCATGGCATGTCTTACATTACACGCTTGCAAGCTACCTTCATGATGAACTCGAGCACCTTGTGAGGGTCCAGAAGAACACAACTCGGCCGACGTCAGAGCAAAGCCCCCTAGTATTTCTCTTCTCCTATATATGAGCAAGAGTTTCACATTAAACTTAAAGGTATATTTAGGCCTCCCCGTACTCTCCAAAAAATCAGCAAGTGTCTCCGCTTTCCAGGTCCAACCTACTTCTCACGGAATTGTAATAAATTTTTCCACTTTAAATTGTATTTTACGATAATATTCAGGAGTCTCGAGTAGTAGGTGCACTACTCAACAATATTACTTAAATTAATTTTTTTTTTTTGCATTTTGTATCTGATTTAAAAACTTAAAGGTGTCAATTCAATAATTTCGAAATACCATACATATACACATTTATTTTATTATAAAAGTGTTATTAAAGCACAAAATATTGAATCCTTTTTGAAATGTTTTGCAATTATTTTTATTTTCATTGAAATTAAATATTAAATTTTTATTATTGTTCATTCAATCAAATTATATTTTCTTTTTCTCCATAAACTCCTACTCCTTATACATGTAAATTGTACTTATTTCAGTTTATTTTTCTTAAACTATGACTATATTTTTAATATACATGTATAAGTTAGTAGAGTAAAATAATTTTGAAATCGCGATGATGTTGCTAAATATCTTATTTCTTTGTTTCAATATACACGCTTTAATTGTGTATACATAAGACTATATATTATGTACTTGTATATACTTGTATATATAAACGAATCTTTGTATATTTATCATGACCTCAATTTATTTTTTTTTTTATTTAAATTTACTATCTCTTCAATTTGAATTTTTTGTGCAAAAAAAAAAAAACTTTTCACGATTTCCTCTAAATTTCTAAAAAAAAAAAAACATTTTGATAGAGAAATGATTAATTCATTTGGATTATTGTAGTGTAGAAATTTTTTTTCTCTATTTTTGTTTTGTTGTTTTCATTTTTATGAAGCAATTTTTGCTTTTTGCTTTTTAATTCTTCAAGCACAAATTCAAATTTAAATTTTCTCAGAAGTTGGAGAAATGCACAGAAAAAAAGAAATAACAAAATGTATATACATATAAGGTATTAACAACAAGAGCTATAGATGAATATTAGGTTTTTGTTCGTTTCATCCAAAATGTTGTAATAAATTTAGTGGAAAAAACTTAACAAAAAAAAACCAAAAATATCGATTGGCAATTTTTTTTTCTTTTGAAAAAAAATTACCAAATTTTAAAAAGCTAGACAGATTTTTTTAAATATGGCAAAAATATGGCAACTACTATACCTTTTTTCTGTCAATTTATTGCCTTATAAATATTATAATGAATGCACTTTTATATACACATACATACATACGTCCATACATAAATATATACTTAAATACATTTATTGTGATTAATTGGAAATTAATTCTATGTCATTCACATGCAATCAGTTACGTTCACATTTTATAATATTATAGTGAAAAACAAAATTTCCATATGAAATTACAAAGGTAGTGGGGGTAAAAGGAGATGATCTGCTAACTGTTTAGTATATATGTATATGTATACGATATTAAAATGCACAAAAAAAAAAAATAGCGCTGTGCTTTCACATTTTTGTTATTTCTCGAAAATTTTTTTGCCCAACGTATCTAAGTTTTGAATTTGAATATGTTGGTGCTATGTGATAAGTTCCAAAGAAATATCACTAATAAGAAATAAAAAATTTTGTTGTTGCTGCATTTAAACTGAAATTGAAGAAATTGTTCAACTTAATATTCTTATCGTAAAAATTTTAGATTTAATATAGTTTTTCCGGAAATTTTGTTTTTCTGAAATTTGGTTTTTACAATAGATTTTACCCGAAACACACAAGTAGACATAGTTTATTTTCATTTCCCTTTTATAGAAAAGTGCGTTTCCACCGAAAAATTTAGTGCCATCACATAAGCTGCCTTTTCCAAGAAAAAATATAAAACTAATTAAATACACTACCATTTTGTAGTTCTGTACTCCGAAAACTTATAAAAAGTATCGAGATTTCCTGCGCATTCAGAACATTTTTATAAACAATATTGCACTACATTCTTTTTCAAAATTTCTGCATTAATGTAATATTAATGTAATAATGGGGAAGACGCTTTGCATAAAGTTAATGCAGTTTTTGATATATATATATGCAAAATTTGATCAAAAAATGTCGATATTGAACATGGTACACGCTATTTTCAAGTTGAAATCGATCACGCGTATATTCATTGTTGAAACAATATGATTAAATTTTATAGTTTAAATAATATAAAATAATATAAAAATGAAACAAAGTTTTAATATCGTTTTCTCTAAAACTTATTACTGACGTATATTTAAGGAAAACCTATAATATAAATGACATGTTAATCTAATTTTGATCGTATTATATGACATTGTCATTGATCAAAAAAAAAATTTGTTATAGTGTTATTGAAATCTTAATTTGAAAAAAGTATTGGTGAGATCAAAATTTTTACGGTAAAAATATTTTATAAGTTTTAAAAAAATAATTTATACAAAAAACTCTTATCATTTATATTAGGTAGTTAATTAATTTGTTAAAAAAAAATAAATAAAATTGTGCGCAAAAATTTATTCGAATACCAGGAAAAATCAACTAACTATACAATACTTTTCAAAGTTAGCTGATATGTACGGTAAAAATTGCTTTTTTTTTTATATTTTTATACTTACGTTTCAATTTTGAAATTGTATATTTATTTACATTTGTATGTACTTTTAAATTATAATCAATTTTATATAAAAATCATGAAATCACGTTTAACAAATGGCATATGTTTTGTAGTTTGATATTTCATTATCAAATTAATTTTTTTATGTTAGTATACTTACATTTATATAAAAATACAAAGATTACAATTTAATAATACCTGTGTTTTTATATTTTGGTCGTAATACGTATAGTGTTTTAATATCGTAATATATATAGAGCAGTTAAAGAGCACGAAACAAGAATGTTAGGTCTCTATTTCGAATATTGGTATGCAAGGTCTGCGATTCTTCCCGATTAGTGAATCTCCTAAATTTTTTTTCGTAATTATTAAATTTAGAAATTTTCATTAACTCAATTTTTGTACTTTCAATGTAATAATCTTACAAATCCCATTCTATGTAATCATATCAGATGTTCGAAGTTATGTATGTGCATTCTACATTTTTACATATTTGAAATTCTTCAGCACTTAATACACATTATGTACATCATTATTTATTATTATATCATAACGAGCACAAAAAATTTTTTGAACACAAATAAATGTTCCCAAATCGAAATTCTTGATGTTAATTTATTTTAATTAGGTGAAATTCATAACCACATTTACGTACATTATGTATATGTATGTATCGCATATTTCTGTTTGTTTGAAATTTTCGAACACATGTCTCAAAATCTTCATAAGACAATAATGAATAATAGAAAAATTTTCTTAAAAATAAATAAAAAAAAAATAAAAATTATAATTAATTCATTTGAAATGAATCTGCACCATCAATCTTTGTGAATTTCATTCAATACAATAAAAAATGTTATCAGCTATATTATTTTAAATATAGACACAAAACATATAACACTAGCTGCGAAATTCTTGCCTTATATGTTACCGGCACAATACTTGACTTGCTTCATTTTTAAGAAAGTAAGTCATATTTTTGGGTCACAACTTTTCTTAGTAAGAAAAGTGCTTCTTAGTTTGAATCTATCCATCCGTACGTCTGCTTGTGCTTTCGTCTGTCCGTGTGCCTGTTTACAAAACTTTCACGCCCTTTGAGAAATAAAGCTGAAATTTTATACATAAATAGATCTTTGGTAAAAACTTATTTCTGTAAAAGAAAATTTTCACCTACCTCCCTTCAGTAAAAATTATAGCCTTAAAGTCTTAAAAATGTCATTTTTTGAATATTTATTGTAATGCAACCACAAACAGTTTTTAAATCTCGTAAACTCAGAAAAATAGTTTTGGGAACCCTAATAATTTTAGTTTTATATTGCATTAAAAACAGGAATATTATGAAATTATCAAAATTAACAATTCGGCAATACCTTTGTGAATATGTATGTATGTATGTTTTGATGTTGAATATATTTTATTGAAAAACTTCGATCTTTATTGATCATCTGAATGTACAAGAAAAATCAAATTAATTTCAGTTCTTCCTCAAGCAGCATAGCTATGTATGAAAAATATTGCCAGTAACATAGTCACAATTAAGTGTACATATGTATGTAGATGTAAAAATTAATTTATAGCCGATGTATCTGTAATATTAACTGGCACGCCCCAAATTACTATTTTCCCATAAATATTTCATATCGTGCATGCCAAATAAAAAATATTTACATTTTAATTGTACAAAGCTACATATGTATATACATGCATAGATATTTTATTAAATAAATTATAAGTACGTACATAAGTATGTATGTACATAGTATGTAAGCTAGTGTAGTTGAATATTTATTATATTATTAAGTGACTATATACATATGTATGTATAATGAAA